CGCACCATTGATTGAAAGTTGAAAGTTTGCATTTCAGGGGGAAATGTTCTAATACAACATTCTCTTTGATGTCATAAAGGATGTAGAGTCATTTTCAGGTGCAACAGAGGCCCATTCTGACATCAGAACACATCCGCCCACAGTTTCAAGAGGTATTGGCTAAGCAGAGGTGAGCAAAGAGCCAGGATAAAGGTGGTTTGACCAGGTTAACGCCCTGTTGTATATGCTCTTTCCCATGCATAATCTTATTAGCTGTGTTAGTCTGCAACAGTAGAAAAGAGCAAGAGTCCAGTAGCACCTTAAAGACACAAAAAAATTGTGTTAGGGCACGAGCTTTTGTGAGTCACCGCTGAAGAAGTGAGGAGTGACACATGAAAGCTCATAAAGGTGAAAGGTAAAGGTTCCCCTTGCTCGAAAGCCAGTCGAGTCCGACTCTAGGGTTGCGGTGCTCATCTCCATTTCAAAGCCGAAGAGCCAGTGCTGTCCGAAGACATTTCCGTGGTCATGTGGCTGGCATGACTAAAGACTAAGGCGCACGGAACGCTGTTACCTTCCCACCGAAGTGGTCCCTATTTATCTACTTGCAGTTTCTTGCTTTCGAACTGCTAGGTTGGCAGGAGCTGGAACTAGAGACGGGAGCTCACTCCGTCATGCAGCAACCTGGGTCTTGAACTGCTGAATTACTGACCTTCCACAGCCTGCAGTTCAGCATATTAACCACTTGAGCCACCGCAGCTCCTTACCCGACCACAAATTTTGTTAGTCTCTAAGGTGCTACTGGACTCTTACTCTTTTCTATTTCCTGGTGGAGAATGGTTAGATCATGGAAATACAGACAAATTGTATGCCTGCCGAAAACAAATAAACAAACCTGGAGTGGCCTCCTGATCAGGGTTCACCAGGGCTATTTTTGGGCAGGAACGCACAGGAACGGAGTTCCGGGTGGCTCCTGAGTTGACCACGCCCAGCAGCAGGAATTCATTAGCATAATAGGCCACACCCAACAGCAGAAACTCATTAGGATTGGCTACATTAGGGGTTGGTGGCCTAACATGCAAAGAAGTTTCTGCTACAAAAGAAGCCCAGGGTTTTGACAACAAACAAAGTAAACAGAATGAGAAGCAAAATGTGGGTGTGGTGACTTGGGGGTGTGGTCTAATATGCTAACGAGTTGTGATGTCAGGGGTGTGGCTAATACGCTAATGATTTTCTGGTTTGGGGTGTGGCCTATTATGCTAATAAGTTCCTGCTGGGCTTTTTCTACAAAAAAAGCCCTGGGGTTCACATATCAGCCAGCAGACTCACATAATAAAGCGAGTGCTAGATGAAGAGGAGGAGGACCTGAAGGAGGAGATTTATACCCCACCCTTCACTTGGAGTCTCAGAGCAGCTTACAAGTCTCCTTCCCTTCCTCTTCCCACAACAAGACACCCTGTGAGGTAGGTGGGACTGAGAGAGCTCTGACAGAAATTGCCCGTGAGAGAAAAGCTCTCAGAGAACTTGTAACTGACCCAAGGTCACCCAGCTGGCTTATGTGGAGGAGTGGGGAGTCAAACCTGGTTTTCCAGATTAGAGTCCACCACTAAACCGATGCACCATTCTTGCAACTCTGCTGTGCTAAGTGGGAGAGGTGGTGCTGGGTAAAGGGAAGGCTCTGCGCCATCATTCTGGCTTTTGCAATAGCACGGACAGTGCCTCCCTGGTTTCACCCTGTCCCATTGTTTTATAGAGATAGGAAGTGGTTAGAAATATAAATCATGGTTAAAAAACAGTGCCTTAACCTGGATAGCCCCAGCTAGCCTAACCGCATCAGATCTCAGAAGCTCAGCATGGTCGGCCCTGGCCAGTATTTGGATGGGAGACCTCACACCGGGGTTGTGATGTGGAGGCAGGCAAGGGCAAACCGCCTCTGAATGTATCTTGCCTTGAAAACCCCACAGGGCTGCCGGAAGTCAGCTGTGACTTGATGGCACAAAACAAAACACTTTTAAAGGGCTCTTTTTGTAGCAGGAACTCCTTTGCATTTAAAGAAAAGATGGTTTTATTGGGGGGGGGGGGACACATGTAAGGTAGCATCACACCTCACACCACCCTCGGCTGACAATGTGTTTGGCCTTTCTACTCTGCCTGAGAAGGAACCAACCAAAGCTTTGTGGAAATGACCATGAACAGATCAGTGCAATAAAAAGTAAGTTCCGTCACGATAATGCCGCGATCTTCAGTCCATACCAGTGTTCCCTCTAAGCTGAGTTAGCATGAGCTGGCTCACAGTTTTTTAGCCTCCAGCCCACACATTTTTGTCTTAGCTCAGGAAGGGATGGCTCCGGAGCAAACTAATGTATGCAGCAGCCAAAGCTCCTGCTCACAACTTTAATGCCAGTAGCAAACAAAGCAGAATTTTTGCTCACAGGGATCCATAGCTTAGAGGGAACATTGGGTGGCAGATTCCCCATGTGTTAGGTCATGAGCCATTTGACAGCTTTCAAGTTTTTTTAAAAAAGTGGTTATTTGGAAGTACCTCCTACTACTACTGGGCATGTACAGGGAGCGAGGACCTCCTGCCATCTGCGGCACCATTCATGCCCTCCGATTCCTCCATAGTTTTGACCTTCGGCTCACTCCTCATTCTAACATACCTCCCAGTCCTCGGCTTTTGTTTCCCGTTCCTGGCTTTCTTGCTCTGCTGCCTTTGGGCCTCACCTTGACACAGGTGAGGGCCTAATTCTGGCTCCCCCTTCTTCCTGCCACAGGACTCTAATATCACGCGCTTTCATCTCAGTGGGTCTGGAAAGGTAGTAGACCGCCGCGATAATAGACTGGCAAAAGCCATTAGTAGACACGTGCGGAACACAAAATGACCACTGGAATCAGCCCATTCCTTCCACTCCACTGTGATGGTCGGTGATCCATTTTGCTCTCCTGGAACAGCTATTTGTTTTCCTTCCTTTTAGGACAGTGTCTATGGCAGAGCACCACTTCCTGGTTGCAAGATACCCAAGGTAGCTCTCCTATAACAAAGCAAGCATCTGAAATTGCATGAGTAGGGATCCGTGTGGAGCTGGGCTGTATAGAGGAATCCACACAGTGGAATCCACATCTCCCATACTTTGCATGGGCTGCGACAAAAATCTCACACCCCTCCCATTCCCACCCAAAATATTCACTTGGTTTTCATCTTCTCGAGGTAGAGCACCATGAGCCCAATTGATCTTGAAGGAAAGAGGCGATTTATCAGTGCCAGAACTGGTTGCCAAAGAGATTTAAAACCACAAGTCTACCCGACGGTTCACCCTATGGTGACATTACCCAATCCTTCTCTGTGGAGCACAAAAAGACCTCAAAAAAGAGGTCTGTATGTCCCCCTTTCCTTGCAGTGGTATGATCCAGAGCCCTCCTCCCACAGTGATACCATCATTCAGCCAAAATTCTTACAGTTTTTCCCTTAATGGCAAACTCCAGGTCCTTCTATAAGTCAGTTGGTCAGTCCATAACATGCACTTGTTCACTCAGTCTTGCAATCGGTGCCCCCATTCATTTGGTGGCAGGAGCCACGTCCTTTCATCTTCCTGCTAGGGGGTGGAGCTTGGGAAGGGGAGGGACCCTAACTCTGCCAGCAGAGGGTGAACTTACCAGGAGCGGGGAAGGACGCCGAAAATAAACACAACATGGCTACATCACCCGGAAGTGACGTAGGCATGTGAGGGATGTCGGGGGGGGGACACTTTGGTTTTTGGGCAAAACTCTATGGTAGAATAGCTTCTACCATAGAGTTTTGCCCAAAAAACAGAGTGTCACCCCCGTTGTCCCTATGTCACGTACGCATATTATGTTTAACTTCGGGATTCTTCCCTATTGAGGAGGGGTAATTTCCCCCCTGCCAGTCAACTGGCTGGTGGGGAAGTGGGGCCTGAAAGTGGGGGACCCCCACTGAGGGGGGGGGGTCTAGCATCCCTACTCAGCACACGCCTGTCCAAATTCGCTGCCGCACACAACTATCCTGTCTGGTGAACACACACTCCTGGGGATGATGAAAAAATATTTGGTCTTATGGCCTATTTGGCTCTTTTTTTTCTGTGATGGTTCCCCACTGAGAAATGGCCCGAGGGTCATTCATGACAGCTCCAGCAGACAGACCCCCGTGGGATTGAAGCCCTGGTATGGCTAAAAGCCAGTCTCATCAAAGGATGGTATAGGACTTCAGCTCTGCCAAGGGTTATGTTGCCCCTACATTTTCATCTCGGTCTGCAATGTGGTGGTATTAGTTCTCTCCAGGGGCACGCCTTGTGGGTGGGACTGAAGATGAGCTGTATTCTCAGGCAAAGGCGGATGGTAGCGGTACCGGTAACCATAGGCACGGAGGTGGTAGGTCAGATATTCCAGGGTGTACATCAGTTCCGAGCTCACGTAGTGGAAGGAGATGGCCAGGTCAGAACAGCACTGAGGGCCCTGGGGAGCAAAAGGATGCGACCACAGTTAACTTCAGGTTCCAAACCATGAGGCGAACACTGAAAAAGATATCCCATCATGCTACTTTGCAAGGCAGACATATTTTCTCTCTTAATGTGTTACAGAATCTATGGGGACAAGACAACAGCTGTAAACAAGAGTAGCCCACAGTGGGCATGAATACTTGCTGGAGCTTGGGAGGGAAAAAGGAACGAGAGGATCATGGAACAAAAGTCACAGAAATATAACCGTGAATACTTACTAAATGTTGGTCAATTATATCTCAGCACACGCCTGTCCAAATTCGCTGCCGCACACAACTATCCTGTCTGGTGAACACACACTCCTGGGGATGATGAAAAAATATTTGGTCTTATGGCCTATTTGGCTCTTTTTTTTCTGTGATGGTTCCCCACTGAGAAATGGCCCAAGGGTCATTCATGACTGAACTCCAGCATACAGGCCCCCGTGGGATTGAAGCCCGGGTATGGCTAAAAGCCAGTCTCATCAAGGGATGGTATAGGACTTCAGCTCTGCCAAGGGTTATGTTGCCCCTACATTTTCATCTCGGTCTGCAATGTGGTGGTATTAGTTCTCTCCAGGGGCACGCCTTGTGGGTGGGACTGAAGATGAGCTGTATTCTCAGGCAAAGGCGGATGGTAGCGGTACCGGTAACCATAGGCACGGAGGTGGTAGGTCAGATATTCCAGGGTGTACATCAGTTCCGAGCTCACGTAGTGGAAGGAGATGGCCAGGTCAGAACAGCACTGAGGGCCCTGGGGAGCAAAAGGATGCGACCACAGTTAACTTCAGGTTCCAAACCATGAGGCGAACACTGAAAAAGATCATGTAAAGCACAGATCATTTTTACAAAATTAACAACACATAACCTGTGAGCTAATATATGTATTCATAATTACATTCTCTCATCAAAGTGCAAGTTACGACGACCCACTGTGAACAAAACTATTTCAAGTACATATCAATGGTTTGCTAAAAGGCAATGACTCATTTTCTGGAAAGTTTGCTTTTCTTGCAAACTTTCCAGAGAATGAGTCATTGCCTTTTAACAAACCATTGAGCTACTCTATGTACTTGAAACTGTTCTGTTTTCAGTGGGCTTGTAGGTTATGTGTTGCTTATTTTTGTAATAATTATCTGCACTTTACATGAAAGCATTTATACAATATATAAAAAAACCCAATTTGACCAATATTTAGTAAGTATTCACAGTTATATTATTATATTTTTTGGGACCTTGGAAGGGGGCAGAGACATAGAAGGCTCGTGGCATTGCATGCACTATAATATCACTTCCCGGAAAACTTCTAGGAAGCACCAGAAACTCTATGGTAAAACCATAGAGTTTCCAGTGATTCCTAGAGCTTTGTGATGCCCCTTCCAGGTTTTCCTCAGAAGGGATATCAAGCCATTTGCCAACACCATTATTGTTTTAAAAAATTGTTCTCCTCCCACCACTTGGAGCCCACAAGGGTTTCCTGTGGGAGGCCTGGCAATCCTTATAGGATGCAATATTGGTGGAGAGGGAGAAAAAGTGTGCGAGACATGGACAGATTTCTGCCAGTGTGCTAAAACAATTGTGCAGGGTGCTCCAGCATATTTTTATTACTTACTGTGAGACCTTGGGTGTGCCATTTCCAAAGGACTGGTGACAACTGGTGTTTGAACTGCTAGAGCTTTATAGCTGATTAATCATCAACATATCAATGATCAGTCATGTTAATGTCTACGGTTTCAGTTATGCAAATGACCTTTCTTATACTGGCCTTTTGTTATCTCTCGCTCTGAAGTTTGACTCAGGGCCAAATTATATTTTACACAAGTTCCCAATGAGGACTAACAGCCATATTACTACTTCAAGTCACCTGTGGCAGCTCTGTGTAAAAGCACTGCAGGGGCCCAGTTCAGATCGGGACTGGGACGCAGGGAGAGGGAGGCTCCTGCCTTCGCCCTGCACCATTTTCTAGAGTCCAAACGACCCAGGGTCTGCAAGGGGCATTATTTGCCCTGTTGGTGATCTGTACGTGCAAGCATTCAAAGCACATACGGCCCAATGGGCCAAGTAACATTCCCCTGGGCCATTTTGGCTCCAGAAAGTGACACAGTGGAGAGGGCAGGGACCTCTTCCCTCCCTGCATCACGGCCCCACTCTGGATCAGGCCTCAGCAGTGATTTTACAGAGGTACCACCAGGGACTCACAGCTACAGTACAGTGGCAGGTCCACATGGTGATCACGTTTAAAACATTAACTTGCTGTCTGGCCCTCACAGCATTCATGTCCTCTTCCCATTTGAGTTCCAGAACAATGATTCAGACGGGGAGACACGTTACTTCCGGAGAGCCAGTTTGGTGTAGTGGTTAAGTGCGCAGACTCTAATCTGGGAAAACCGGGTTTGATTCCCCACTCCTCCACTTGCACCTGCTGATGTGACCTTGGGTCAGTCACAAGCTCTGGCACAGCTGTCCTTGAAAAAGAGCAGTTTGTGTCAGAGTTCTCTCAGCCCCACCCACCTCACAGGGTGTCTGTTGTGGGGAGGGGAAGGGAAAGGAG